TGTGCATAAATGCAATTTATATATTGTACAGATTGCATTTATGCACACGAGAAAATATTTTTAAAAATTTGACTTACACCACTGTGGTTTTTACCCCTCCATATGTAATTACGTTAATAGAAACAGCGCATTTCCTTCGTAATCTATACTATTATCTATACTATTATATAAAATTCTTACGGGTGGTGTATGTTTGAACGTTAATAACTTGAAAACTATTGGACCGAATTTTTACCACAAGTACATGAAATAGGGCTAGAATTTTCCGGGGAGTGCTATAGAGTGTGTAGTTTTTCATTACCAATTTTCTGGAAATCGATTTTTTTAATTTTTCTAATTCTTACGGGTAAAAGAATTTAAAAAATCGGTTTTCAGAAAATAGATAACGAAAAACTATACACTCTATAGCACTCCCCGAAAAATTCTACCCCTATTTTATATGGTTTTAATACAAATTCGGTTCAATAGTTCTTAAGTTAAAAACGTTTAAACATACACCACCCGTAAGAATTAGAAAAATAAAAATAAAACGTTATTAACTTAATAACTATTGGACCGAATTTATATTAGAACCATATAAAATAGAGGTAGAATTTTCCGGAGAGTGCTGTAGAGTGTATAGTTTTTTGTTATCTATTTTCTGGAAACCCATTTTTTTAATTCTTTTAATTCTTACAAGTGGTGTATGTTTAAACGTTTTTAACTTAAAAATTATTAGACCGAATTTGTATTAGAAATTAGAACCATGTAAAATAGGGGTAGAATTTTCAGGGGAGTGCTATAGAGTATATAGTTTTTCGTTACCGATCTTCTGGAAACCGGTTTTTCTAATTTTTTTAATTCTTACGCGAAATAATTGATCGAATCTCGGAGAGAGAGAGGGAGAGAGAGAAAGAGAGAGAGAGAGAGAGAGAGAGAGAGAGAGACTATTGAGTGAGATTATTTCCTTCGTAATTATAGTTATAATAATTTCATATATTTATATTTCTTTTACAATTATTTTCAGAGCATAATTAAGATCATTATTTATTTACTCGTCTGCATTTTCTTTATTAAATTTTAGAAGTAGTTATTTTCTTCGTTGCAATTTTCCAGAGAGAGTATCTAAATTTTACAATTTTATCGATTTTATCGTTAAATGGACGACTTGTCGTTACCTAAAAAATACGATCGGATACAGAACCACAAATTTCAATTTCAGAATCCGCCGGTCGGCGTGGCCGGCGGGTTTTAAAAAATTCAAAGGGATTCCTCGCAAGGGCGAACGTGGGTGAAACGTTATTTCCCTTTTATTTCCGTCCGGAGACCGATAAAATCGAAGAAGAGGTTGACGGCAGCAGGGTGCGGCAGTGAGGCCTCTTAAAAGGGGTGAAAATCCACCCTCGTCCATTATTCACTCCTGCTTTCAAACGCGAGCAACAAAGATCGCACAGCAACAATCCCGGCCCTTTGCCTAAATTCCATCTCTCCCCCCAGAAGAAGCCCGGGGGCTGCTTTTGTCAGCGCGTTCACAACCCCTAATGACCGACGCCGCTTATATTTAATTGGCGACTGTCGGACAATCGATAGTATCCAAGAGCGAGTTCACGCATAAACTGCAATTTATTCGCGCGGGGATAATGGGAATTTGTATATGAGATGCATTTTAAGTAATTTAGTACAAAAAATAATAAGATTTACTGTAAAAAAATTTAATGTCCGTCTAATCGCATTAAAAAAAAATCATTCTACTCTGTTATATTTATTTAATATACGACTGTATGATTCAGATGTTCCGGTCAGAAACACTGTCGCTACAATGTGACTATCGATCATCCAGGAGCACATTCTTGGATTCCAGGTGGAATTTCATTAAAATACGCTTGCATACCAGGTGAGTACATTCTGAATAATTAAAATATTATATGTCAAATATTTTATAATGTTAAAACTTAATTAATTATTTTCTCAAGTTTCGCGGAAAAATTAAAACCTGATATTCTATATATTTATCGAGAAGTCTGTTATCGAGAAAAGCTTCAATAACACATATGTAACAGCCTCAGTATACAAACTCAATATATAAGCAGCCTCAATATATAAACTTAGTATATATAAACAGCCTCAGTTTAAGTATAAACTGAAATATTAACGGATAGCCAGTTATTTCTACTAACGTTCTCAGGAGTATATTTCTAATTTTCTTTTAATTAAAACTACCAAAGGGGTCAAAATAAATTATTTAAAAATGTTAAACGGGTCAAAAGAGGACTCTCGTTTGACATTTTTAAATAATTTATTACTCATTTCTAAAACATCTTCATTTTTGAAAATTTCCCTGATTTTTATTGAAACTACATAAATGATTAATTTTATTAATTTGTTTTCTCTTTTTTTTCTACGATGTCTCCGTAAAAATAAATATGGATAAATATAATCTCCGGTAGTTCTATAGTGTTAATTGTCTTAAATTTCCTCTAAATTGTTTCACATTTTTAAAAATTCTTCAAATTATATTTCGTCTTAATTGTTGTCGATTCTGAACGACGACCCTCTCATAAAATCGAGGAACTGACAATATTTCCGGTACAAGACATTTACAGTATTACGAATCTGGCTTTATTTATCGGCAAAAAGCCCAAAGGGTTATTTCTCCGCGTGTGCAATATTCGGGCGTGTGCAATCGATGATCGACGAGCTCGATAAAGCTAGCGCCCCGGACATACAGGTCACGCGGGGGCGGAGAAATGCACGGCACGTCACGTGCCGCACGTCCGATGAAATCGGCCTCAGATTTCTATCTCGACCGTCGGCCGTTGTCCGCCAGCTGTCGACGATGCAATGATCTTTATTGACCGTGGGATCGCCGGCATATGCGCTGAAATTCTACCGACAGCAAGAAACAGTGTATCCGATCGCACACAATGCACCGCGCTCGAACGCATCGGGGGATGCCACGGAAAGGGCATGTAATCCCGCCATTCTATGGAAACGCACGTACCGCGGAAGCTTCTTTGCGAGGGAAGCGTGACGTTTTCGGGTTTTTATTGTTCGATATGGTTCCATTTTTCGAAATGAAGGAAAACTTATGCGTCGTGAGAGATAAGAAATTACATTAGAATATATTACAAAATGTTACAAGTTATAGCTTATTGCGTAACAAATGTTTATACGTTTAGATATTTCAATCCTTTAGATTGATAGATTTCGCTTATCTATCACGATTCTGTCGAGAATACTTCTTTAACATAGTAATTTTTTTATGTAATACGTATTGAACTATATAATATTTTACTACACGGGAAAAAAAGATTAGCTATACTATTGCTAAATCTAGTCATAAAATATGGATAACTAACATTTTTTGTAGCGAGAACAGAAGGTTTCGCTACTATATATATATTGCTAAATTATAGCTCTCGCTTCAAAAAAATGTTAGTTATCCATATTTTACGACTAAAATGAGCTACGTTTTTACCGTGTAAAATAACATATAATAAAATTATTATTTATACTTGCATACATAAAATATGGTAATTTACTTAATTATTTAATAATTGTATTAAAATCATTAAACATAATTCAAATTTTGGATGTATTAATCATCAAATTAATCAGGAATTTTAAAAGATTTTTGCAAGTTTCTCTCTGATTTATACCGAGCAGTTTTCGCAAGCTAAAGTTCACCAGACCAAATTGTACGTTAATAAAACATTGGAATAATTCGAGACACCCGATGTCCCAATTGAATGCAAAGCGTTTCATTAAACAGGCGCTCGATTGAATCGATAGATCGGATAAAAACCGTTCGCTATTCAGCAGGACAAAACATTCCTTGTGAAGGCCGTCACACTTGGCGGAATATTGGAAACGGTGCGCATAGAATGTTGCACATTGAGGGATGGCGGAGGGGAAAAGAGGGAAGACGGAGGACCAAATTTCCCCTTCGTCGCCCTTATTACCGTCACTGGCGTATCTAGCCCCCACCCCCAGAAATGGCACCCCTATCCACGAAACTGGGGCAAGGACACCCTCGCCTCCTGGCCCGCAATACGCGCTATAAAGGGATCCGTGCAATCGTATCGCCCGGTGACAAATAGACCACGACGGATGCAGATGTTAACAGTAGCCTCATGGCAGCAAAAACGCACGGCCCAATCCTGCCATCCCCTCGAAAATAATTCTTTTCACAACGATAGAATTGTGCCTCCATTAGTAATGATTTGTTACTAAGTGAGAAAGATTTAATTAGACATCTGGAGGGTATAGCGTTGTATTAGCACGACTTATCAAACACATGTAACACCGGAATTTAGTCGAAAAATTTAACTAAAATTAAACTGTAATTTATAATATTTAGTAGGATTAAATATTCGAAACGTTCCGTCAAAGTTTAGTTAATAATAAATCATATTTTACGTTATTAATATCCTAGTTTGCTTGGTTATTGCCCCTTAAATTTTCTATTTTTTGCTTTGCAAATACCAACCTGACTTTAGTTTAATATTTAATTAGTTTTATATTACTCAATACGTATAAAAAACTATTTTTTTTACGGGAGATACATAAATCTCTATTTTCACAAAACTGCATTTCGTAAAAAAAATTGTACTATACTGTATAAGTGGACTGTTACATCGCCATACCGCATAGAGGATAATATTTTATTGATTGCAGAAGTTGCGGTTAGACGATACTGCAATCAGGAGGTGAAGGTAATCGGCGGAGAAGGTGGTTACATCAACACCCCGGGTTACCCACTGTACTACGTCGGAGAAACGTGTGGGTGGACCTTCAGGACGTTTCCGGGTCAGAGGATAGTTCTGACCTTTCACGACTTGAATATCCGTGGTGAGCTCGCGTTTTAACCCCTCCATCCCGAAACCCCTTCGCTATAGAGTGCGACAATTTAAATTGATAAAAATTGAGTTGCTCGCAGTTGAAACCAAAAGCTGCAGATTTATCGTTTGTGGCAAACGAATCTGGCGCATCAGTTCTTTCTCGCCGCGATGAAGATAACTTACTGTTTAAATAAAGAAAAGTTTTCGGGAACTTAAATAAAGTCTTAAAACAGATATATGTACGTTGCTTGGATACCATTAGATACAACACTGTATATTTTTTTTCGAAATTTACGACCTTTATTTAAACCGCAGGTTTCAACGATCCACTTTAACTCTTACCAAGCTGCAGAATGAGTAACGATTCGCTAACACATAACTACAGTTTACTACACAAATAGAGCCAGCGCACATGCGCTACACATGACACCGGATCGGATTAAGGGACCGCGTCGATCGTCGAAAAAATAAACATCCCTGAGCGCCGCGGTCTCTGATTTTACACGCCTTCCGCAAACAAACTCCAGGCGGAAACCGCGAATAAATGCTTGCAGGTCCGAACGCGGATGGGAACTGCGTGGATATCGTGAGAGTGCGGGAACGCGGCAGCACTCTTTTCGAGTTCTGCGGCACCGCCGCGGGCGTACGAGTTGTCTCCAACTCGAACGTGTTGACCCTCGACTTCGTCGCTTCAAAGAGGTTTTACAACGCCCGAGGCTTTTTGCTGCAGTACCAAGGTAAAAACAGAAAAGAGAAAACATATGTGAGAAAAGTGTCGCGAACACGCGCGTTGTTGCAAACACGCGGTTAACTCAGCAAAGATACATATGTACTTCGCCAATCGACAAAGGTCTACGCGAAATTAAGTCGACCGTGTTATTCGGGTGAAATTAGCATTCTGATCAATTAATGGAGCTCCAACAATTATCCGATAAATTCTGGGGTTTGAAACAAATTATATCCCCACCATCGGTGTTTTTCAATCTTTCTCTCTGAAAGTAAATTGGGTATTATTTTAATAACGTGTCGTAATCAATGTTTGGGAATCCTCGGCAATATTAAATTTGTGTTTCAAGAAGCTTATTTACATCATAACGGATTGTCATAAAATATTTAGACGGCAGAATTTATAATTTTCACACTCTAACATTATTTCTGAGCATTAATAAATTTCTCTTTTCTTGTTCAAGCGCGACATTTTGGGAAATCAGAGATATTATGAAAAAAATATAAAGTTTAATTTTAAACGCAGAATTTTCGCAAACGACACCACTGTTCAACTTTTTGCCAATTTAAAAGTTCCTTGTAATGCCATTAGCTACTTCATCAACTATTTTAGTGATTAAAACTTTTAATAACTCGTTAGTGTTTGCCATTTAAATGTTCAGAAATATACATATAATGTATATTGCGTGGAGTTTCTATGGAAATAATAGAATTTTTTAAGGGCGGGAGCGATATCGCCTTGTAACTTTAAACTGGAACAAGGTGTTAATTAGGAAAGCAAGGTGGGAATGAACTAACGCGTTTGCAGTGTTGGGCTGTCCGGAGGTCTCGGCGCCGAACGGAAGTTACGTGTCGAACGGTACATTGACTTCGCGGACATTCCTATGCAAGTCGGGCAGCGTATTTTCCGACAGCAGGGAGAGAAAAAGGACACTTGAGTGTAGAAATGGTAAATGGAACGAGACCGCCGCCAAGTTACCCGATTGCGTAGGTAAGAACTTGCCTGGTAAATACATTACATTACATTACGTTTTGTTCCACCTATTTCTCCGCGTCATATTTCATACAATTCATTTATCGTTCATTCTGTTACATCCGCTTGCGCTAATCCATGTCTTATTTATTATATTTATTTACGTCAGATTATAGAGTTACACATCCATTACGCGCGATGGATATATTTTATTCTCTTTATCAGAGATTTAATTTAAACTCATATGTAAAGGTAATGATTGCAATACGGAAATAATGCATTTTATTACGTATATGTATAATAACATCCGATATAATAATATGCCCGATAAGTCTGTCGTGATATTTAAATTTATGTTCTCTATTTGTTTATTCCGCATGGAAAATTATTTATTAATACCATTAATTATTCAGGTGCTTCATATATGAATCGTTAGATTTTATCGTAGGAATTAAAAAGCGCTGTACCCAGGAAAATACGAGAAATGCCATTAATATTATCGCTATATTAATATAAATGCATTATTACAAATGCATTATATTTATAACATAATAATCATAATATTTTCTATTTTCATGTGATACTCGTTTTCGCGATATTTAACAATGCTAAATCCGCAGATAATGGATATTGTTAATTTCAACTATTGTTGATAACAGAAGTCTGAAGTTCGTGCAAGCTTAGCGGTGAAATGTTAAACGTAAATTTATGGTTTTTTCTCTCCTCTCTTTTTACGAACGTCATTCTTCTTTTTCCCCATGATATTATCTGCATTCTACAACCGCCAGTTAAGAGGCAAAGTGCGTCCTTTCCTGTGATTAATTCGCACGCCTGCACGTGTAAATTCACGCAATATTCAGTGCGGGTTATATAACGAGGCATGCGAGATAATCGATACGGCCCTTCCGTGACGGAAATCCCCCAATGGCTAGTGATGACATCGAAACCCTATAAAAATCTACATTACTCCAGTTTTTGCTGTCGCTCGATCAATTAGGGTGACAGCAATATCGCTTTAAATTTTCTGCGAAATTTATTTTTTATTTAATGAAATAATTACGAGCTTAATATCTAATTTTATGTTATTACCTAATGTTGAAAATCTAAGAATACAAGAATTAAAAGTATAAATATGTAAATAGATATTTCTGTTCAATTTAATTGTATTAATTATATATGTATGGAAAAAAGGAAAATAAACGCGCGCGCGCGCGCAAACACACACACACACACACACACACACACGTTTATTTCATGTCTTAAAAAAGTAAAAAGTTATAACATAAATTACGAATAAAAAAAAATAAGAAATAAAACGATAACGTGCAGACTAAATCACATCGGTCCAAATTAGAAGTTTGATTAAATTTTGAAAATAAAAGGCGTACTTCGACTTGTTGTTCGCCAGAGTGTCTGAAGTGCCATCACTACATGGTTGCTCATCGAGGGGGCTTTATTCCCCTTCAGAGAAAATGGTGGGGGGACCCTTTCTCGGGGAAGGGAGGAAGCGAGATACCGCTCTCTCGGTAGGGGAACGACAGACGAGGACGTACTGAAAGAGAATCTTAGGGCAGAGGGGGTCCCCCAAAGCAACCATACATCGTCTTCGTCCCGCTTCGTCGTCGTTGTCGCGCGAAGTCAGTCGTCTCGACGTCACGTGCCTCTTTGGACGCGAGAAAAAAGCGTGTTATAAAGTCTATGAAGAAATTCGCGATAGTACATCATTCCATAGAACGTATTTCGGGAAAACGCTACTCGAATTTGAGAACTTAAAGAAATTTGCAACAACATCTAACAGGTAATTGGTTTATCATGTATAAAGTCATTCATAACCTTATACTTTTTGCCTATTAAAATAATACTTATAATATATTTATAATAGTATAAAACTATAAGAACTTAATGCGATCTCCCAAAGTTATTTGATTTTTAATATAAGATTCATAATAATAATGTTGGTTAATAAGACAGAACATTCCGTCGAATTAAGAAGTTAAGGAATTAAAAGTTCTATATATAGATACATAGACATACATATACGCGCGCGCTTGTGGGTATAGGCCTTTTCGTCAAATATAAAATTCATAAAATAATTCATTTGGAGTATCTAAATCTCATTTAAGAGAGATGCGAACCGCTGCATCACGATTATAAATTTTTATAAATATTCTTATTATTTCGAAAATGTGAAAAATAACTAAAACTTGAAGATTAAATTGCCGTTTAATTATTAAATAAGTTTAAGCTGAATTTTTGAGATAGATCTCATTATCTGTTAAATATTGGTGAATTGTTTCTTAAAACCGATGACTTTTAGGGACAAAAGTACGCGGCGATTCGGCATAAATTGCGATTTATATACAAAGTATTTCTTCTAACTGGATTGAAGCAGTTGATATCGAACACGAGGTCAACGTAATGATCTTCTTATTGAACCTTCGCACCCGCTCGCGATCTCTGAGCTAATTAATCTCGTGTTCTGTTTCTCTCTCTCTAGCCAGTTCATACAAAATTGCTCGAGATGCCCCGATGGGAATTAATTATTAACGAGTCATTAGTCATCAACGAGTGAAACGTGATTAAATTGTTAATATAGCCTTAATTCTTGAATTGAACATGTTCGTTCTAAGTACTTTATGTTGCCAATATTCCCAAATTAAAGAAACTTTAGTATTGGTAAAAATATGGTAAAACATACATAATTAAATGATATAAGACTACTACCTGGGGAAAGTAATTGTGTTTCTTTCAAAATTCTTAAAAAATTCAGTAATTATTAAAACCGTAACTTAATTAACCTAACTGAACTACGAAGACTTTTAGTTTAATTTAATTCAATTATATACCATCTATTTATTCTAGAAAACATATTTTTTTCTCATTGATGTTCTTAATATAAAAATATTATTTTCATATCTCTTATTTTTGAAAGAGATTCTCGTGGAAAATTTACTCCTATTTATACTTCATAGACTTCATACTAGAGAAGTTATTGTATTTTTCCATATCTGCAGGAGAATATTTATTTACATTACTTCTTATTTACCTTACATCTGTTTACATCACCTGTGCCCTCGCCTATCTATTCTGTCGCCGTTTCTAAACGCGTTGCAACTACGCGCACAATTTTCGCACTGTATATTATATTTTCAAGCACACTGGAGTGCACATCGACAGTGGAAAGAGATATTGCTGGCAGCTGTGGCCCAAATTAAAGTTTGTAAAATATCATCCCGCGACGCCTGAAACTGGCAGCAACAAACGAGAGGCCGAGAGAGAGAGAGAGAGAGAGAGAGAGAGAGAAAGAGAGAGAGAGAGAGAGAGAGCGAGAGAGAGAGAGAAGTTGCTTTGTACAAAGCTATCTATTCTTTTTTTTTTCGTTTTCCCGCCGGCGGATTGCCTCGTTTCCGAGAAACAATCATTCGGATGCGATAGCTACAGATCCTCCGCAAAAGAGATTAAGAACAGGCGCTTCTTCTTCATGTCCTTTAAAGTGGAGGTTAAACTTAAACTTTTCAAAGCACCAATTAATCTTCTTGTACAGAAATAAAATATATTTCCGGTAATTTAATAGAAAAAAATAAAAATTGAAAATTATCTTACAAAAATGTATATCATGTCTACTGTTTAAATTTAATACAAATGAAATACTTTACATTAAAAAAGAAGAAGAAGAGAAAGAGAGATAGAGAGAGAGAGAGAGAGAGAGAGAGAGGGAGAGAAACAGAGCAATACAAAGTAATTAGGTTTAGTAAAATACTTGCAACAAATTATATTGATAAGATAACATATCCACATCCGTTAAAATGACTCAAAACACATATTATTAAACTATTTTATAGTGATAAGATGAATGCATTTCTGTTAATAGCAAATAATTTAAACTTCATTTTCTAATGTTAAAAATATTTGCGATTACTCTTATAAATGTTTCCATCAAATATTAACGATTTGACAATAAGTAAGTAACGAAACAAGCTACAGCTTCTTTCTTTCCAATACACGTATTCTTGCTCTACGCGAAAGCTATGTTATTACATTTTTTTTCCTTTTATAACATCAGGCTACGTGGAATTAAAAAATGTAGCTACATCCTCCCATAACGGAAAAATAAATAAAGCGGAATAATCTTCAATATAGCGCGCTTTTCCATTTCAATCGTTCTCGAAACAAAACCAATTTTGCACGCTCCGAGAAAATCCATTTCGATGCGAAATGGCGGACGGCTCCCAATTTCCGGATAAACAAAATCGGATTTTTCATTCATCATTCCGAGAAAAGAGCATTTCGGACATTTCAGTCCCGCGCGAAATGATGCATCCGCGTGTACAGTCACGGCAGATGCATACGTAATTCGGTAGTCGCTCAGCTGCAACGTCGCGTCTCATCGTCCCTGTACCGTGCATCGTTATAAGGAGCGCGAGCGAGCAGGAAAGAGAAGGAAGAGAGACGAACGGATTTGGTCCTGAGGGGAGTAAAAGGCGACAGGAATGGTGGGGGATATTTCCGTCCCCTCCTTGAAGTTATCCTGTCTGTCTTTCTCACTCTCTCCCCTCCTCCCTCTTCCTTTCTCTCTCTCTTTCTCTCTAGCCTCTCTTCTCGGTGATAAATTTAGAGTTAGTAGAATAAAACAACAGAGCGCAGCTGCACCGCTCGGTGAGCTGACTCCGTGAAAGTGTAGCCTCGATCTGTTGCTGAAAACGAGAACTTTGTTTAAATGTTCTAGCGAAGTTAATCGAGCTTGGGGATTACTTGCAATTACTTGTGCGAAATATTTTAATTTCTCCCAGTAAATATCGAAGGCTATATTGGGATAATATGATGCATATACTGGAAAGATATATTGATTAAGGTTTCAGTAGAATAAAAAAAAGAGGTAAAATTACAAGATACACACACTCTCACACTCTATATTTCTGACGTATAAACATCCAATTCATAATGTTGGAGAAAGGGAGGGTATATCGAGATTTTACAACTAGTTCGTTATTAGCTTTCAATATATCGAAAAATTGTTA